GAGACAGAGTCTCGCTGTTGCCCAGGCTAGAGTGAGTGCGTGTTGTCAGCCTCGCTCACAGCAACCTCCAACTCCTGGGCTCAAGCGATCCTCCTGCCTCAGCCTCCCGAGTAGCTGGGACTAAAGGTATGCACCACCATGCCCAGCTAATTTTTTGTATATGTATTTTTAGTTGGTCAATTAATTTATTTCTATTTTTGGTAGAGACGGGTCTTGCTCTTGCTCAGGCTGGTTTCAACTCCTAACTTGAGATCCGCCCGCCTAGGCCTCCAAAGTGCTAGGATTACAGGCGTGCGAGCCACCACGCCGGCCTTTTTTTTTTTTTTTTTTTGAGGCAAGAGTCTCACTCTTCCCAGGCTAGAGTGCCGTGGTGTTAGCCTAACTCACAGCAAACTCAGACTCCTGGGCTCAAGCGATCCTCCTGCCTCACTCTGAGTAGCTGGGATACGAGGCATGCGCCACCATGCCGGCTAATTTTTTATATTATATATCAGTTGGCCAATTAATTTATTTCTATTTTTATAGTAGAGACGGGGTCTTGCTCTTGCTCAGGCTGGTTTTGAACTCCTGACCTTGAGCAATCCGCCCGCCTCGGCCTCCCAAGAGCTAGGATGACAGGCGTGAGCCACCGCGCCCGGCCTCTTTTAATTTTTAAAAGTATTAGTTCTGTTTTTCTTTTCTTTTTGGTAATTCCTTTTATCAACATCAAAGGGTTTGATGAACCACTTCTTAAAAGTTAACATGCCCCTCTGGTAAAGAATCCTCAATACACTGGCCAGGCGCAGTGGCTCACACCTGTCATCCTAGCACTCTGGGAGGCCGAGGTGGGAGGATCGCTCAAGGTCAGGAGTTCGAAACCAGCCTGAGCAGGAGCCAGACCCCATCTCTACTAAAAATAGAAAGAAATTAATTGGCCAACTAAAAATATATAGAAAAAATGAGCCGGGCGTGGTGGCGCATGCCTGTAGTCCCAGCTACTTGGGAGGCTGAGGCAGGAGGATGGCTTGAGCCCAGGAGTTGGAGGTTGCTGTGAGCGAGGCTAACGCCACAGCACTGTAGCCCAGGTGATAGAGTGAGACTCTGTCTCAAAAAAAAAAAAAGGATCCTCAATAGTCCAAGTTATTAAACTATTTGTTGCCTGACTGCAAAGTGTTACAAAAGAAGAAATATGATTAGTTCATCATATCAAGGATTCTGAGATCTTAGGGTATCTGTGATAAAATTTCCATCAAGAATGGAGGAAGTTAGTGTTTGCCTGATCCTAAAACATTAACCAGACTATTTCTGGGGAATAAAATTCTCACGCATATATGGTTTATGTGTGTGTATGTGAATATCGCATATAATGATTACATGATAACATAATAGAATTTTTTTTTCTAGTTTCCTGGAGGCTGGGGGAGATGTCATTGATTCAGTAACATGGCATCAGTAATATATCTTCCATTTAATACTAGCAAAGTAATGCTAGCTTTATTTATTCCTAGTTTTCAAAAGTTATTTCCATTTAACGGTAATGGTTCTATAGTACAAATAAGAACAAATGGTGCCTCAAGAAAACATGTCGAATTTTAATTAATAAACAAATTTTACCTGTTTTTAATACTAATGGTGGTTTCTTCAATATAAAAGATCAAGGAATACACCAAGGAACCCGTGAAATTACAAGTAGCTAAAACAAATGCTTGCAAAGAACGGGATAACCAGTGGATACCTACTGTTTTTTTTTTTTTCTTTGAGACAGAGTCTCACTCTGTTGCCCAGGTTTAGAGTGAGTGCTGTGGTGTCAGCCTCGCTCACAGCAACCTCAGACTCCTGGTCCAGCGATCCTCCTGCTAGGCTTCTCGAGTACCGGAATTATCCAAAAAAAAAAAAAAAAAAAAATAGAAAAAGAAAAAAAGAAGTGGTTCGAGTATCTTCTAGCTCCTACCTCTTCAGCATCTTGACAGTCTTCCCTCGAGGCTGCCCGACGTCTGGACCGTAGAGTTTTGCATGTTTGTAAGTGGACTTTCTCAGAAGTTTATGCAATTCGATAAAATCTTCTCCCAACTGTAATCCATCGATGAAAATACCAGCCTTCTTCTGGAAACTGTTAGGTTCTGAAAGACAGCAATTCTCAAAATACTATCCACCTAGAAATGTTTTACTTAAAAGCAAACACACAGCAGCATCTAAAAACAACAGAACATTTTCGAAATTACAAAAACTTAGAATACAGGGTGTATGAATTTCTTTACTGAAAATTACCGTAGAGAGTAAAATCTGAGCTTTTTTTTTAACAACAAAAATAAAGGAAAAAAAACTTAGAATTCAATGTCAAGAAAATTAAAACCCTTAATTATAAAGAAAGTATTCCAGAAACACAAAGATTTAAACTAAATTATATAAGTGATGTGTGAGAAGGTAAAACAATTTAAAGTTAATAATGTGGCCAGGCACAGTGAGTGGCTCACGCCTGTCTTCCTAGCACTCTGGGAGGCCGGGGCAGGAGGATCGCTCAAGGTCAGGAGTTCGAAACCAGCCTGAGCAAGAGCAAGACCCTATCTATACTAAAAAATAGAAAAAATTAGCTGAGCAACTAAAAATAAAAACAAAAAATTAGCCGGGCATGGTGGCGCATGCCTGTAGTTCCAGCTACTCGGGAGGAGGCTGAGGCAGGAGGATCGCTTGAGCCCAGGAGTTGGAGGTTGCTGTAAGAGAGGCTGACGCTACAGCACTCTAGTCTGGGCAACAGAGGGAGACTCTGCCTCAAAGATAAGTAAATAAATAAATAAAGTGTATAATGGGACTATTAAACCAATGGATATTTGGAAAATATAATAATATTAATTATTTCATAACTTAATTTACTTTAATAAGAGTTTGGGCAAGAGGAAGACGTGCTCATCATATGACTACACCTCATTCCCCACTTTATCTTCAGTTCCATTGGCTAATGTGTGGAAAAAAGCACTATAAATATGTTTGGAATAAATGTGGCTAATCATTAATACTTTAGTTAGAATTTACAAGTTACAAAAAGTTGCAAAAAAAAAAGGGAAGAAGGAGACAATCAGGAGGTTGGCCCAGGTAGAGTTCTACAGCGGAATGTTCTAGACAGCCTGAGCATGTAATAAAGGTTGGAAAGAGTTGCTGAGATTAACTGAGAAACAGAGAAAGGAAGGGAAGAGTAAACCCAGCTGCCTGCTCCACAGTTTGGTTAAGTCCAGCCTGACAAGCCTAACAAGGTTAAGTGACATTGAAAATCTCAAGGGAACCCAGGGGCCAGGAAGGTTGCTGGCTACAACTACTTGTTCTCACTTCAAGAGTAACATAAACTGGGATTCCCAAAAGGTTCTGGGATTATATTACAAAGGAGTTGTCTGCCATATGCAGTTCCAAATGTTGCATTGTTGAGCCATTACAAGAATGTGTCCAGGCCGGGCGCGGTGGCTCACGCCTGTAATCCCAGCACTCTGGGAGGCCGAGGCGGGAGGATCGCTCGAGGTCAGGAGTTCCAGACCAGCCTGAGCAAGAGCGAGACCCTGTCTCTACTAAAAGTAGAAAGAATTTAATTGGCCAACTAAAAATATATAGAAAAAAAATGAGCCGGGTGTGGTGGCGCATGCCTGTAGTCCCAGCTACTCGGGAGGAGGCTGAGGCAGGAGGATCGCTTGAGCCCAGGAGTTTGAGGTTGCTGTGAGCGAGGCTGATGTCACGGCACTCTAGCCCAGGCAACAGGGCGAGACTGTGTCTCAAGAAAAAAGAATGTGCCCAGGCAAAAGTACATTTGTTAATACTAAAAAGGATGTCAGACATAGGAAAAATAATGCCAGTGAGGAAATCTCCTTATGAATGAGAGGTCCCTGCGTGCTTACCATTGCCTAGTTCCCAGGAAATGTTGTAATTCTTGGAAGAGCAGTAGTCCAGGAGCAACTGAGCATTGGAACTGTTCCACTGCAAATCTGCCGTTCTTAGCAATGCGTTCAGACCAAAGATCAAGTCCAGCCCCGAGCAATTTGCAAAAGTGTACAGCATGTCCACGGAGCTTCCTGCAAGAAAACGGTCATATGTCATTCAATGGTTAGGTCAACAGCCACATTGACCAGTTCTCAGATTGTTTCATGGTGGATTCTTTTTTGGGGGGAGTGGGGGTTCGAGCCCTTCAATTTTTCCTTGCTGGGTTTGAGGCCTGCCATGCATCACTAGCTCACACAAGTCAAACTCCTGGGCTCAAGCCAATCCTCCTGCCTCCAGCCTCTGAGTTACTTCGGGACACAGGCTGCGCCACATGCCCTAATTTTCTTTATATATATTAAGTGCATTAATTCCTTTCCTGTTTTATAGTAGACGACGGGGTTCTGCTCTTGCTCAGGCTGGTTCGAATCTGCCCTTTGACATCCCCAGCTCGGCCTCCAGAGTTGCTTAGAATTACAGGCGTCGAGCACCTCGCCTGGCCCAGGCCTAATTTTTCTATAATATAGTTGGCCAATTATTCTTTTTTTTTTTTTTCTCAGCATTTCATCAGTATAATTCTCTATTTAAGTAGAAGACGGTCTCGTCCTTGCTTCGCTTGGGTTCAACCTCTGACCTTGAAGCGATTCTCCTGCCTGTCTGCCTCCAGAGTCTAGGAATAAACGTGAGCCCGCGCCCGGCCTCTGTTGTTAAATTCAAGGAATTCCATTCTTGAAAAGTGACTATAATTATGTCTAAGAAACAACAAAATTATACAGGGACATTAAGAAAAAAAATTCTTGATTTCATTTGAATGGAGTCAAGGAGAAGAAACCAGAAGCTCTGGTCTAGTGTTCCTTCCTTGCCGTTATTCCCCTGTAAGTTTTGCCAGAGTGTCCAGCCACCAAACGTGGGGACTGGGGTGCCGGGGGTTAAGAGTTGGGTGGTGAGAAAGAGAGGTGGAGAAGGAGGAAAGAAAAGGCCGGGCGCAGTGGCTCACACCTGTCATCCTAGCACTCTGGAGGCCCGGGAGGGAGGATCGTCAAGGTCAGAGTTGGAACCAGCCTAAGCAAGTGAGACCCCATCCTCTACTAAAATAGAAAAGAATTATTGCCAGCTAAATATATTGAAAAAATAGCTGGGGCACTGGTGGGGCATGCCCTATAGTACCACTAGCTCGGAGGCTTGAGGCCCAGAGATGTTGAGGCCAGGAGATTGAGGTTGCTGTGAGCGAGGCTGACGCCATGGCACTCACTCCAGCCCGGGCAACAGAGTGAGACTCTGTCTCTCCAAAAAAAAATAAATAAATAAAAAAAGGAGGATAGAAAAGAATCTGCTCATTAAGGATGATTATTTTAATAAGGGAGTCCTCCTTTCTGCTGTCACTCCCAGAATGACACCTGTCACATCACTTCCTGTTCCTGCAAAAACCAGTTTGCGCTGTGAGTCTGCATTCCCATGACAAATTCCCATGACAAATGTCATCTTCCAAGGTGACATGTACTAGAAAACTTGCGTATATCTTCCAGGGAACCTGTTTTTTTTTCTTCTTTTTTTCTTTGAGACAGAGTCTCACTCTGTCGCCCTGGGCTAGAGTGCCGTGGCATCAGCCTCGCTCACAGCAACCTCCAACTCCTGGGCTCAAGCGATCCTCCTACCTCAGCCTCCCGAGTAGCTGGGACTACAGACGTGTGCCACCACGCCCAGCTAATTTTTTCTATATATTTTTAGTTGGCCAATTAATTTTCTTTCTATTTTTAGTAGAGACGGGGTCTCGCTCTTGCTCAGGCTGGTCTGGAACTCCTTACCTTGAGTGATCCTCCCGCCTCGGCCTCTCAGAGTGCTGGGATGACAGGCGTGAGCCACCGCGCCGGCCTGGCTGGAGTTATACAAACCCAGCTGCACGGTTAGCAAAGAAGGCATTCTGCCTGCGACAGGAAGTATGAAGGCCCAAGAGGCAGGGAAAGATGTTAGAAGTCTACCATTACGGTAACAGAAAGATCGTGTGAGGTTGCAAAGGTTTTTTTAGAAATCGAAGCTAACTGGTATGTTCAATATGACCAAAAAAATCGAGAATCCCTTAATTACCTAACACCATGGCGGCTTTTCCTACTAGGCCGGTATCAGAATGATCGATTACACATGTGTACTGTGATTCTCTGGTAGTTTTTGTCACTCCTTTAATGGGATCTGAAATGGCCCTGCCTTACGTCAAATTCCGCTCAACCATAAATCATGCTTATTATACGATCAAGTAGCTTCCCTCTCTCTTAAAAATGCAAAAAATAGGCTGGGCGTGGTGGCTCACTCCTGTAATCCCAGCACTCTGGAAGGCCGAGGTGGGAGGATTGTTTGAGGCCAGGAGTTTGAGACCAGCCTGAGCAAGAGTGAGAACCAGTCTATACTAAAAATAGAAAAGAAATTAGCTGGCCAACTAAAAATATATAGAAAAAAAGTAGCAGGGCATGGTGGCGCATGCCTGTAGTCCCAGCTACTCGGGAGGCTGAGGCAGGAGGATCGCTTGAGCCCAGGAGTTTGAGGTTGCTGTGAGCGAGGCTGACGCCACTGCACTTACTTTAGCGTGGGCAACAGAGTGAGACTCTGTCTCAAAAAAGAAAAAAAAAAAAAACCAGAAACAAAAGCTTTAGACTGAGGATTTCCCAAGGACTCTTGCTAGTATATTTGGGTATCGTACAGCTTTGTACACCTGCTGGCGCACTCACTAGATTCTAGTCCAAGTCCAACCTGTCCAGATATTCTGGGGCAAGAGCACCTGTAGGGTGCCTTTCATTTCTTACGTGAGTAGGTGGTGTTCTTGAAGTTTTTCTGATACTGTTCTCGCAGTAGCCACTGCTCCTGGAAGAGCCATTCCAGCTCTAACTTCTTATGCACATGGGGAGGGATGGATCCGGATTTGCAAATATCTGCAAGTGGAAGAGACCAGTTAGAAAACCTGTTTGCACAGAGAGAAGACTGAAATCCTACTTACAACATATTTAGTCAGCTATGTAGATGACTTATACACAGGGTAATTAAACTCTGGGTGACGAGGTATGAGATCACAGAAAGATAGATTCTGTTACACACCTGTCAACTTTATAGGCTCAGCATCCCCACACACACAAAAAGCAAAAATAAAAAAAAAAAAAAAACAAGCAAAGGGCAGGTATCTTTAGAAACACTGAACATACATACCCTGGACATAATTCTAGAAGACTCCTCAGGAGCTTCCAGCCCTACTGAAAAAAACAGAGCTCAGTTCTCCTGAGCGTCACTTTGAACACACAAAGAAATTTGTTTTACACGGAGTATATCTGCATTGCGGTGATTGCCTGTTGCCATAATGGGAGGTAGGACCGGTGTTAGTGACTTTTTTCCCTTTAAATTTGGTGCCATCAGAGCTACTGGGACCTATCTCACCCTGCACCTTTGAAAGAAGCTCACCAACTTATACACAATGATCAAGAACACAAAAACAGGGGCCCAGGGACGCTGTGGCTCACCTCCTAGCAATCCCACACTCCGGGAAGGCCCACGACGAGGATCGCTCGAGGTCAGGAGTCGGAGAAACGCAGCCCTGAGCAAGAGCGAAACCTGTCTCCTCAGTAAAACAGAAAGAAATTAATTTGGCCCTAATATATAGATAAATAGGCCGGGCATAGGTGGCGCCTGCCTGTATCCCCAGCACTGGGAGGCTGAGCAACCGAGGATCAACTAGCCCAGAGCGTACAGAGCGAGGCTGACGAACAACACACCCTGGCGACAAGTGAACTTCTGTCTCATTAAGTTAAATAAAAATGAAAGAAATAAAATAATAATAAATAAAAAATAAAAGCTCCACCCGTGGGACATTGGAATTTGCCAGTAACTCTCTCTTCGAAAAAGTTGGGTTCTTTTTCTGGACGAAAATGAACAACAACACAACAAACCTCTGGCCAAGGTACGAAGCTTTGGAGAACTGTTAAGAAGACAAGCAAGAAAATATTTGCTTGAAAAATGAAAATATCATTTTTCCAAGACACAACAGTCAAATATTTTTACTTCTTTCTCTCTTGGTGGGACCTATTTCCTAGCAACCAGCTGTGCAGGCCTCGGAGGGAGAAATTGTATTTTTTGTTTTTCTTGGAGACAGGAATGGTGTCATCATATAGCTCACTGTGACCTCCAACTCCTGCACTCGAGCGATCCTCCCACCTCGGCCTCCCGGAGTGCTAGGATGACAGGCGTGAGCCACCGCGCCTGGTAAAGAGCTTATATTTTAACTAGAAAAGTAGGATAGTGCTCAGTATTTATTATTTTTATTATTAGTATTATTATTTTTGAGACAGGGTCTCGCTCTGTCACCCAGCTAGAGTACAGTGGCCTCACCACAGCTCACAGCAACCTCCAACTCCTGGGCTCCAGAGATCCTCCTGCCTCAGCCTCCCGAGTAGCTGGGACTACAGGCATGCGCCACCACACCCGGCTAATTTTTTTTCTATATATTTTTAGTTGGCCAATTAATGTCTTTCTATTTTTAGTAGAGACGGGGTCTGGCTCCTGCTCAGGCTGGTCTCGAACTCCTGAATTTGAGCGATCCTCCCTCCTCGGCCTCCCTGAGTGCTAGGATGACAGGTATGAGCCAGCTCGCCCGGCCTTGCTTTACCCTTTTTGTGCGTCCTATTGCCTCTGCGATTCTAGTCTGGTTTCCAACTCTGATCCTGCATTTGCTCTCTGAGTTACTTTATCTCCCCAAGCCTCAGTTTCTCAATTTACCCTATGGGAATGCTAACAGTGGTCCCCTCATAGTGTTGGGGGTAGGACTAAATGAATGGCAGGGGCCCTCAAACTTTTTAAACAGGAGGGGCCAGGTCACTGTCCCTGAGACCGTTGGAGAGTCCGCACTGTGGCCCCGGGATGAGTCGGCTGCTAAGCAGGACAGGCAGCGGCGGCAAATACACCTGGCAGGCTGATACATGTGCCAGGCGGGTGGCATGTGGCCCGCGGGCCGTAGTTTGAGGCCGCCTGAATTAATGCCTGGCAGGTGCTTAGAGCAGGGCCAGCAAAGGACAAGGGCTTGGTGGCAGCTGCTTGTGCCACTCTCCCGTCCTTATTCCTTCAGCTGTCCTCTGCTCAGCCCTGGCCATCCTTGCCCGAAGCAGCGACACTTGGGAGGAGCTATAGCAAAGCCACACTCCTCTCTCCTCCTGCCCTGTGGTCACACACGCTAAGCTCGTGTCGTCTTCTGAGACGGCCGGGCCACCAGGGCACGAGGCCACCAATCCTGGGGTGATGGACCCTGAGACCTTGCATAGAAGCTAGGTATTAGGCCAGATGCTCACGCCTGCCATCCTAGCACTCTGGGAGGCTGAGGCGGGAGGATGGCTCAAGGTCAGGAGTTTGAGACCAGCCTGAGCAAGAGTGAGACCCCGTCTCTACTAAAAAATAGAAAGAAACTAATTGGCCAACTAAAAAAACTATATAGAAAAAATTAGCCAGGCATGGTGGAGCATGCCTGTAATCCTAGCACTCTGGGAGGCCGAGGCAGGAGGATCGCTCAAATTCAGGAGTTTGAGACCAGCCTGAGCAAGAGGGAGCCCCCGTCTCTATTAAAAAATAGAAAGAAACTAATTGGCCAACTAAAAAAATATATATAGAAAATCTTAGCCGGGCGTGGTGGCGCATGCCTGTAGTCCCAGCTACTCGGGAGGCTGAGGCAGGAGGATCGCTTGAGCCCAGGAGTTGGAGGTTGCTGTGAGCGAGGCTGACGCCACAGCACTGTAGCCCCGGTGACAGAGCGAGACTCTGCCTCAAAAATAAATAAATGAATGAATGAATAAAGAGGAAGGAAGGTAGCATGCTCACTAAATTGCAGACTGGAAGTTGTGTGCCTTGGGGAAGGGTGCCAGTCAGTTGGGGTGAGCTTGACCGCAGGGTGACCAGGCAGGACCCTGAGAGTCACACTGCAGGGTTCTGCTGCCCCAGGGAGGCATCCCCACCCGTCCTTGTGCTTGGGGACGGGGCGGGGCAGGGACATGCTGGCTGCAGCGGGAGAGGACTTGAGACCTCCCATTTCAGCAAATGGACATCCGCCTCATTCCTGTTTGCAGGAAGGCACTTCCCCCAACCTCGCTGTCCCCAAGCTAATGCTGGGGTCCTGGGATCTGAAGCCCTGTGGCTCAGCACTTCTCCTGGTTAGCATTCCTGTCCCCCAGTGGCAGCCTGCTATCAGCTTCCTGCCCCGAAGGGAAGGACAAAAATGAAGGACGACTCCCCATCAGGAAATTCTCTCTCTAGGGCAGGGGAAAAGATAGAGGTTAAGTATTTTTTTTTGAGACAGAGTCTCACTCTGTTGCTCAGGCTAGAGTGCCCTGGCATCAGCCTCGCTCACAGCAACCTCCAACTCCTGGGCTCAAGCGATTCTCCTGCCTCAGCCTCCTCCCGAGTAGCTGGGACTACAGGCATGTGCCACCATGCCCGGCTCATTTTTTCTATATATTTTTTTTAGTTGGCCGATTAATTTCTTTCCATTTATAGTAGAGACGGGGTCTCGCTCTTGCTCAGGCTGGTCTCAAACTCCTGACCTCCAGTGATCCTCCTGCCTCAACCTCCCAGAGTGCTGGGATTAAAGAGGAGATCTTTCCATTAGGACTATAAGTGGCAGTCATCTTTTAAGTCTCATTTATTTCATATGTAGATTTTTAGTCTTCTCCTTTGAAGCCTTTTCATCTGACTTAAAAAAAAAAATCTTCCTAACTGGCTGGGCTCAGTGGCTTGCACCTATAATTCTAGCACTCTGGGAGGTGGAGGTGGGAGGGTCGCTTGAGGTCAGGGGTTCGAGACCAGCCTGGGCAAGAGCGAGACCCTGTCTCTACTAAAAAAATAGAAAGAAATGAATTGGCCAACTAAAAATATATATAGAAAAATTAGCCAGGTGTGGTGGCGCATGCCTGTAGTCCCAGCTACCTGGGAGGCTGAGGCAGGAGGATGGCTTGAGCCCAGGAGTTGGAGGTTGCTGTGAGCGAGGCTGATGCCATGGCACTGTAGCCCAGGCAACAGAGTGAGACTGTGTCTCAAACAAACAAACAAAATCTCCCTAAGAGGTTGAAAGAGGGAGCCCGGGCCCCAGCGAGGCTTGCGGGGCCCCTCCCCTTAGCCAGGTGCAGCAGCAGGTGGGCAGTGTCGTCTCCAAGTGTCCTCCCGCCCCTGGCCCTGGCAGCGGCTCTCAGCCCCGGTGCCCGGGAGAGGAGAGCGGCCGGCGGTGGCGGGGCAGGTGGCACGGGTGACAGGCGGACCGCGGAGGGGACAGGACGACGGGGAGGGCCCCGGCACTTACCCCAGGAAGGTGAGGAAGCGCGGGTCGGTGGCCAGGTTGGCGTCGATGGTGAAGGACAGGAAGGCGGGGCTGAGCAGGTGCAGCGGCTGCGTGGTGAGGAAGCGCAGCTCCGCGACGTCCCCGGCCCCGTCCAGGGCGCGCGAGGCGCGGGGCAGGGCGCGCGGGGACAGGGGACCCAGCGGCGCCAGGAGCAGCAGCAGCTGCAGGGGCAGCTGAGGCATCGCGGGTCACCTGGCCGCCCTGCCAGAGTGAGCGCACCTGCTGGACTCTCTGCCGCCCTCTCGCCCGGCCACTGCACCCTTTTCTCCTCCCCCTCCCCTCCCCTCCCTCCTCCCTCCTCCCCTCCCTTCTTTTCCCCCTCCTCCCCCTCCCCTCCCTTCTCATCTCCTCCCTCCTCCGTCATTCCTCCCTCCTCCCCAACCTCCTCCCCTCCCTCCTACCCTTCCTCATCCCCTCCCTCCTCCGTCCCTCCTCCACCTCCTCCCCCATCCTCCCTTCCTTCCTCCCTCTTCCCCTTCTTCCCCCTTTGCCTCCCCCTCCCTCCTCCCCTCCCTCCTCCTCCACCTGCACTCCACCCTTCCCCTCCCTCCTCCTCCCCCTGCACTCTACCCCTCCCCCCCCTCCTCCACCTGCACTCCACCCTTCCCCTCCTGCTCCCCCTGTCCCCCTGCCCTCTACCCCTCCCCTCGCGTTCCGTCCCCTCCTCACTGCACTCCACCCTCCCCTCCTGCTCCTCCTCCCCTGCACTCTACCCTCGCGCCTCCTCCTCCCCCCTCCTCCACTGCAACTCCACCCTCCTCCTGCTCCTCCTCCACCTGCACTCTACCCCTCCCCTCCCTGCCTCACCCACCCTGCACTTCTACCCCCCCTCGCTCCTCCCCCACCTGCACTCTACCCCCCCCTCCCTCCCTCCCCCCTCCTCACCTGCACTCCACCCCTCCCTCCTGCTCCCTCCTCCCCTGCACTCTACCCCTCCCTCCTCTCCTCCACTGCACTCCCACTCTCCCCTCCTGCTCCCCCTCCCTCCTCTCTCCATCCTCCCTCTCCAGGTCCCCCCCTCTGTGCCGTTTACATCCAGCGCCAGCCCCCCAACCTTTGCATCTCCCTCGCCCCCCCCCAGGGTCCCCAAGCTCAGCGTCCTTTGCATCCCGCCCGGCCCCCCTCTCCAAGTCCCCCCCCAGCACTCCCACTTCCTCGGTGGCTCCCCCCCACGTGGCAGTCACGAAAACCACCCACGCCTCAGAAAGGAAGGGTGCGGACCTGGTTGCGGTCCAAGTGCCACCCGGGCATCCAGCCCGGTCACTTGCGTGCAACTTGCCCGCGGTTGCACTACGTGCCCGCCCATGCAGGTAGGGCCCGGTCTCCCTCCTGTGATCCTGCGCCACCTCCTGCAACCCGCAGGCATCCATCCTGCCCTCCCTGTGGCTCCAAAGCCCCTGGCTGTCCCCGCAGAGGCCAGACTCTGCCTAGCCCCTGTGCTCTGGGCCAGGCAGCTGTGGCTCAGGTCGCTAAAGTTTGCCCTGGAAAAATCTAGCCCACGCATCAGCTCACCTGCAGCTGGGGAGAGGTCAGCCGCCAAAACTTCCTTGTCCATTTCTCCTGAAGACAGGACAGAGCAGCGGAGCCTTGAAGGCTCTTAGATTTTTCCACTTAGATTGCACCACCAGTAACTTAATCAATAAAAATAGATTGTTTTGCCGGGCGTGGTGGCTCACGCCTGAAATCCTAGCACTGTGGGGAGGCCAAGGAGTGAGGATTGTTTGAGCTCAGGAGTTCCAGACCAGCCTGAGCAAGAGTGAGACCTCCATCTCAACTGGAAAAATAGACAGAAATTAGCTGGACAACTAAAAATATACAGAAAAAATTAGCCGGGTGTGGTGGTGCGTGCCTGTAGTCCCAGCTATTCGGGAGGCTGAGGCAGGAGGATTGCTTGAGCCCAGGAGTTGGAGGTTGCTGTGAGCGAGGCTGATGCCACGGCACTCACTCTAGCCCAGGCAACAGAGTGAGACTCTGTCTCAAAAAATAAAAAATAGATTGTTTTGAAATGTATATCTCATTTGTCTACATCTGCCTTTTTTTTTTCTGAGACAGAGTCTCACTCTGTCACCCATGCTAGAATGCAGTGGCATCAGCCTCACTCACAGCAACCTCCAACTCCTGGGCTCAAGCAATCCTCCTGCCTCAGCCTCCCGAGTAGCTGGGACTACATGCATGTGCCACCACGCCCGGCTAATTTTTTCTATATATTTTAAGCTGTCCAGCTAATTTCTTTCTACTTTTAGTAGAGATGGGTCTCATCCTTGCTCAGGCTGGTCTGGAACTCCTGACCTTGAGCGATCTGCCCGCCTCGGCCTCCCAGATTTTTAAGCAACTTAAAAGTTGAGTGTATAATTTTGCAACCTGAATCAGGTTCTTATCCTACAATTACTGCATACATAAAACAAAAGTTCATATATAAACACACCATGCTACCAAGAGAGTATAATCATATGGGCAGACAAGGAGGTGGAAAAGTGGAAGAATGAGGCTCTTTTGCTACCCTTGTGGTGACTTTGACCCCATATGCCTCTCCCTCCTGGGGTCATGGGGCAACGGTCACATCGATTTCTTTGAAATATTAGGGTGATTTCAAAAGTGGATCCTTGCGAGTGTTCTAAGCTGTGAACCCTCATGACATGCAGAAATAGGGGCGAGTGCAGTTTACACGGTAGTTACTCATACGGAAACTGGGAAAATTGCAAATGAGGAAGAAAAGAGAAGCCACTTGCACACATGACTAGCTGTTGGCTAAGGTCAGCTGGGTTTCTGGCTCTAAGTCTGTTTGATCCAATATGTTGGATAAGAAAAGCACACGGGAACATAGGCAAGGGGAATATATGGGAATGGGTTAATAGAAAATGTCATTTGAGGCCGGGCGCAGTGGCTCACATCAGTAATCCTAGCACTCTGGGAGGCCGAGGCGGGAGGATCGCTCAAGGTCAGGAGTTCGAGACCAGCCTGAGCAAGGGCGAGACCCCGTCTCTACTATAAATAGAAAGAAATTAATTGGCCAACTAAAAATATATATAGAAAAAATTAGCTGGGCGTGGTGGCGCGTGCCTGTAGTCCCAGCTACTCGGGAGGCTGAGGCAGGAGGATGGCTTGAGCCCAGGCGTTGGAGGTTGCTGTGAGCGAGGCTGACACCACGGCACTCACTCTAGCCCGGGCAACACAGTGAGACTCTGTCTCAAAGAAAAAAAAAAAAATTGCATACAGTGAAATGCACAAATCTCAAGTGCAACATTGGATGAGTTTTGACAGATGCATAAACCCAAACCTCTATCACTCCAGAAGGTTCCTTCAAGCCCTTCCCAGTGAATGCCGGACCCCATTTCCAGAGGCGAACCACTGTCTGACTTCATTTGTCATAAATTAGGGTAGCTTGGTCCAGAATGTTCAAAAAAAAAAAAATCACACACAACATACTCTTTTGTGTAAAGTTTTTGAAATTAATAATTAAGCTGTTGTGTGTATCTGAGTTCATTTTTTTTTTCTAAGTGGTTTTCATTGTACGAATATAACATCATTTGTTTTTATCCATTTTCCTATTGGTTTTGAGGCTGTTGTCATTTTTTGGCTACTATGAATAAAGCTGCTGAGAATATTCTTATCTCAGTCTATTTGTAGAACTACATTTTCATTTCTCGAGGGTAAGTAAGCAAAGAGTAGAACTGCTGGGTCATAGGGCTGATATGAAATTGCCAAAACTTTTCCCACTAAACCAACATTTAAGTCTTACCAGTCTTTAAAGTTTTAGCCATTCCAGTAAGTGTATAATCATATCTCATTGTGGTTTTCTTTTTCATTTCTCTTATGACTAATGATGTTTTTGTATGTGCTTATTTGCCATTGGATTGGGTTCCTTTATGAAATGACTGTTCAAATTTTTGCAAACTGAATAGCATTTTAACATGATAAGGCTTGCATGCCCTTCAACATAGTGAAACTTTTTTTTTAATGCAGAATTAATTCTGTGAATTCAGATACTGTAAATATTGGAATTCTGTAAATATCTGAAGAGCCAAAGAAATGCAAAATGCACTGACTTGATGAATCAATCTAGGTGGAGTTCCGTAAGAGACTCACACCCAGGGATGTGGGCTAAGTGACAGGGTGCAAACATAATGACTTTCATGACTGTTGGGTCCTTTTGTCTTTGTGGGAAAAAGTATTAGAAATTGCATTTTCCGGCAGGGCGAGGTGGTTCATGCCTGTCATCCCAGCACTCTGGGAGGCCGAGGCGGGAGGATTGCTCAAGGTCAGGAGTTCAAAACCAGCCTGAGCAAGAGTGAGACCCCATCTCTACTAAAAAATAGTAAGAAACTAACTGGCCAACTAAAAAAACTATATAGAAAAAATTAGCCGGGCGTGGTGGCGCATGCCTGTAGTCCCAGCTACTCAGGAGGCTGAGGCAGGAGGATCGCTTGAGCCCAGGAGTTGGAGGTTGCTGTGAGCGAGGCTGATGCCGGCACTCTAGCCAGGGTGACAGAGTGAGACTCTATCCTAAAAAAAAAAAAAAAGAAATTGTATTTTACCACTGCATTGGTATACAGACGACTATGATCCAGGCTGGATTCAGTATTACACATTCATTATTATTCCCTTAGATATTTTCTTCTGATTTTAAAAGAAATTAAAATTAATGCATACTGTGGGCACCTCAAAGTATTATGGGCTGTAGGCACTGAGCCACTTTGCCTAGTGGGTAAGGCAGTCCTGTAAGTGACCACGCTCTCTTTAAGTTATGGCATAAAAAACTACAGTGATTACAGGCCGTGCGCGGTGGCTCACGCCTGTAATCCTAGCTCTCTGGGAGCCCAAGGTGGGAGGATTGCTCAAGGTCAGGAGTTCAAAACCACCTGAGCAAGATCGAGACCCCGTCTCTACTATAATCAGAAACTAATTGGCCAACTGATATATATATACTAAAAATTAGCCGGCGATGGTGGCGCATGCCTGTAGTCCCAGCTACTCAGGAGGCTAAGACAGAAGGATCGCTCGAGCCAGGAGTTGGAGGTTGCTGTGAGCGAGCTGACGCCACGGCACTCACTCTAGCTGGGCAACAAGCGAGACTCTGTCTCAAAAAAAAAAAAAAAAAACTACAGTGATTACAAAAGGGACCTCAATTTAGGTCGGGGTTGTGAGGAAAGCTCTCCCGGAGGTTTTCACTCCAGGCCTGACGTCTAAAGAGTGTGGACTGGCCCGGGAGTTTAAGACCAGCCTGAGTAACATAGCAAGACCCTGTCTCTACAAAAACCAGAAAAATGGCCGGGCGCGGTGGCTCACGCCTGTAATCCTAGCTCTCTGGGAGGCCGAGGCGGGCGGATTGTTCGAGGTCTACAGGCATGTGCCACCATGCCCGGCTCATTTTTCTGGTTTTTTTTTTTTGTTTTTTTTTTTTGAGACAGAGTCTCGCTTTGTTGCCCAGGCTAGAGTGAGTGCCGTGGCATCAGCCTCGCTCACAGCAACCTCCAACTCCTGGGCTCAAGCGATCCTCCTGCCTCAGCCTCCCAAGTAGCTGGGACTACAGGCATGCGCCACCGTGCCCGGCTAATTTTTTCTCTATATATTAGTTGGCCAATTAATTTCTTTCTGTTTATATAGTAGAGACGGGTCTCGCTCTTGCTCAGGCTGGTTTCCAACTCCTGACCTCGAGCGATCCTCCCGCCTCGGCCTCCTGGAGTGCTAGGATGACAGGTGTGAGCCACCGCACCTGGCCCAAACTGTGACTTCTTAAAAGCTTCAGAAATAAGTAGGTCCTGAACAATCTGAATGTTAATTTTTACAATGAAAATAACTTTCCATGCACAAAAATCACTCCTGAGGACATAGAAAAAACCTTGCACGGACAATATACGTGTCACACTGGAGAGACCCTTAGATAAGCAGAGAGGGGCACAGGTTGTGGGGAGCAGGGAGTCTGGGAACCAAGTGAGAGCAGCCGTCTGCTCCTTTTGCCCAAACCTCGTAGTTGCCATTTTTTGGTGTCAGTCCCAAGCTTAAACTCAGATCGAGCTGGCAATTTCCCTAGAGGCAGACACCCCTGTGTCAAAGCCCCACAACCATCAATTTGCTATTCTTGCCTTTCTGTAAAACACACTGTAACATTTGCCATCAGCCCCTGATCTCTCAAACGTGGCTTCCACCCTGGCCCACACTCTCTCTGCCTTTTGCATTATGTATCTGGCTCTTTATTCCACCCAGATTCTTCTTTGCACGCCCTGGGTGCAAAATTAGAGCTTTTGGAAGCGGCCTCCAATGTTTCAGTCACTAGTGTCCTATTTATGCTCGTTTGCCGGAATAATAATTCTTTAAATAGTGCCCTGGTGGCCTGAATAAATGCACGCCCCTTCCAAATTGCCCACTTTGCATCCTGAGCACGATTTAGCCACCTCACAACATCTGGAATGCTGCTTTTATTTATCTCATTAACTTTCCAGTTACTTTGATAACTATTCTCAGAGTGGCCGAATCATATTGCTTGGAAAAGGGAAACACTGAAAACAGCTAAGGTGGGCTATTTAAAGTTGCTATGTGAGAATACATATAGGTAACCATGGGGGATTGGTGCCAGGACCTCATGGATACCAAAATCCACGAATGTTCAAATCCCTGATATAAAATGGTGTAGTATTTGCACATAACCTATGAACATCCTCCCATCTGCTTTATTTTTTGAGACAGAGTCTCACTCTGATGCCCGGGCTAGCGTGCCGTGGCGTCAGCCTCGCTCACAGCAACCTCCAACTCCTGGGCTCAAGTGATCCTCCTGCCTCAGCCTCCCAACTAGTTGGGACTACAGGCATGCGCCACCATGCCCGGCTGATTTTTTCTATATATTTTTAGTTGGCCAATTAATTTCTATTTTTTTTTTTTTTAGTAGAGACAAGGTCTGGCTCTTGCTCAGGCTGGTTTCAAACTCCTGACCTTGAGCGATCCTCCTGCCTCGGCCTCGCAGAGTGCTAGGACAACAGGCGTGAGCCACCACGCCCGGCCTGAAATCCAGGTTTTCTGATTCAGGGTCCCGTCTCCTAGCGCTCTGGCTGGGAGAGTTTCGCTGAGTTTTCATGGAAACCTTTAGGGAAAGGTAATTTGGGGGAAGGAGTTTGGAATTTATGACCAGCAAGATGTCTTTACATGCCATAATTATGTTGAAGAGGAGGAGGGTGAGGACGGTCAGGGGTGCAGTCAGAGAGAGTGAGGACGAGAACAGGCCCACTGGACGTGGGTACAGAGAAGCCACCACTCTTTAAAGACACCATTATGCTACCCAATCTTACCTGCCCAGACTTTACCAACATCACCCAACGGAAATATTGTACAGCGTTTGTTCCATTTTCAAAAGCAGACATAAATAAATAGAATCGCATTAACGCTATCTTTCGTTAAATACACTATTACACTGTGCCTTGCACTAATTACCATTAATCCTCTAAATGGTAATATTCCCAGAAATGGAAGGACATAATAATAATTTCTAGAATCACCCCATAAAGATGAAGGCAAATGCTGATTTTCAGGACGTGCCTATTGATCCCTGGAAAAAAAACGAATAGCTTTTCTGATACAAGTAAGTGCACAATTAAAACACTAAAAAAATAAAATAAAAAATCCAGTGAGGCCGGGCGCAGTGGCTCACGCCTGAAATCTTAGCACTCTAAGAGGCTGAGGCGGGCGGATTGCTCAAGGTCAGGAGTTTGAAACCAGCCTGAGTAAGAGCAAGACTAGTCTCCCTACTATAAATAGAAAGAAATAATTGGCCAACTAATATATAGAGAAAAAAATCAGCTGGGCATGGTGGTGCATGCCTGTAGTCCTCGCTACTCCTGAGGCAGGAGGATCACTTGAGCCCAGGAGTTGGAGGTTGCTGTGAGCGAGGCTGACGCCACGGCACTCACTCTAGCCTGGGCAACAGAGTGAGACTCTGTCTCAAAAAAATAAAAAATAAATGTGAGTTTGGTAAGTGTGCCAAAAATCTCTCTACTCTCTGCTCAGGTACGATGGGCTGGACCCTGAAGTGTTTCTCCTTTGCAGCGAGTTCTTCATTAGGTCTTGCGATAGAAGGTGCTAGAAGGTACACTTCTCCCGCTCTGTCCTTCCACCGCACCTGCTCACAGATGCAGGAGGGACGACTGGAATCATCACTGTAGTTGAA